CAAATTGACAATGTATTGAAGAAAGGCATATATTTGTACCCACCATAAGGTACAATGATGAATAAGAATTGGCCATTTTATTTACAGAATTTAAATACTGTATTATAACAGTGAGGCCTCATTATATTGGAGGCGTTGCTTGGTGGGGGCCGTGGCTTTCAGTTAGTTATTTTTGGCCACACTTGAGTAGAAGTGTTGTACCATCTTAAGTGGTTTATGTTTTTTTTAATTGAAGTTTGAGCATGCCCACTGCCAGTTATAAAGGCTAAGATAACATGTGACAATAAATAGCTGTAATTAATATTTTGCTGACCTTAACCCAACACGGCCTCTTGGCGTAATGGTTAAGGTGTTGGCTTGTCGCAGAACCCAGGTTTGAGTCCCAAGTGGGGCTACCTCCTGAATTTGCTACATTGGTGTCAGAAGTGGGATGGCAGAGAGGCGTGTACATGTGAGGGACTTGGTTTCAAGAAGAGGTACATTTTAGCCTCTTCAAAGGAACCAACGGCTTTGTCACTGTAGTGGTACCCCAAAAAGGCACATTTGTGCCTTTTCTAAAGGTACGCTTTTGTACTCGTGGACTATATGTAAAAAAGATACTGTCTTGTCCCCTAAAGGTATGAACTAAAAGGGTACAATTATGTATCTATAACTAATGATACAATGGACGTACCTTACCAGGTACCACTACAGTGAAGCGTTTGTGCCCCTTTAAGTACAATTCAGTACCTTTTTTCTAAGAGTGTAGGTCATAAATCAAAACCAATGTAGTAGTAATGTAATTGTATTTCGCTACTAGGAGTGGGAACCTATAGGCTTTGAAATGATGGGCTTGACCGAAGTGATGCAGGAGATTATTTTACAAGCCTTTAAATCCCTCTGTTGCGAACAACCTTGTCCGATTTAGGTCAGTGCCTTAACATTTTTATTTCACTTGAGACCCCTCTGAGCATGACACTCATTATGTTACGACCACACCATTGGAATAATGAGGATCGCGCTAGAACCCTCATAGCCTGGATGGAAACTAAAGCAGTTAGAGTAGGATGATGACGTTGTCCCCTCGACTCTGATCTAAGGTCAGATTTTTATTTTTCACTCTGATGTTTAAGGTTAGGTTTTGGGGAGGGAAAGCTGATCCAAGATCTGTGTCTAAGGGACTACATGGTTCAGTATGTATTTCCCTGCTTTCCCCCTGCCGTCAGAGATCCCATCAAGCATCCTGTTAGTATGGACATAACCAGCAGGCGTTTCTAAGCAGCACTGTAGTGTATATACATTAGACACACACCACAGCCCTTAAGATGGCTGCCTAACAGAAAGGCATAGTTGCTCAAACGTCTTTTAATTCCTGGTCCTGATTCCCATCATCACAAACAGGCTTGGTGACTCAGAATGTGGGCGTAAATTAGAATATTCCTTCCAGCCCTGGTTTCCTATCTGGGATAGGGCAGTACCAGAGGCCCAACGGACTAAGAGAGGGCTGGAGTTGGCCTTGAGCAGGCGTTGGCCTTGAGCAGGCAGGCAGGGAGACGCAGTGGAGTAGAAGTGTAAGAGTAAACAGTGACGCTCACTTGCCTGCACCAGAATTAGCACACGCAACAGTGGCTCTCCAAAAGCCTCTCGGTGGTGCTGTGTAGAAGGTGCCATTTTCTCTGTTTCAGCCTCAGTGAAATGAGGGGAAACATTAGGGTCAGGGTGTGTGTGTTTTCCTCCTTGTAAGGCTTAGGGGGTTCTTGAACGAGATGAGATCCTCTGTTTATTTTCTGCCCCCCCGCATGAGGAAAGAGCCTAGCTGGGGTAGAGGAAGTGGCAGAGGTGATTTAAAGCCTACTTAGAACTGACATAACCATGACATGAGGTTTTCAGGGTCCTCTTCTGTTTTTGTTTCGCAAGCTTGGGGGGGAGCAGCCAATGGCTGAGCTCCCTGCCCCCTGACCTTGTGCAAGAGGGCCTCTCGCAAAGCTCAGCTTCCCTTTCCCCTACGCAGGGAAAAACAGGAACACACACCGCTCCGCTCACCCCTCCTCCTCCTCTCCCTAGGCCCGCACTCCCTTCCTTTGTGCCCCGCTCTCTCTCTCTCGCGCTCTCTCTCTCTCCCTCCCTCCCTTGCAACTCTCCCCTCTTTCACCTCTTGCCCCCTCTGTGTCCCCCTCCACCCATTCCCCCTCTCACCCCTCTCCTATCTGATTCTGAGATAGACAAGGACAGACTCTGGCTTCTCAGAAGACTCCAGATGTGTTACTTAACTATTTTTGGAAGGAAATCACACCCTCAACAGGAGAAAAATACTCAGTATCCTGTTAGCTCCACCAATTCCAAACAACTGGAATTGCCCATGCATTTGCACACTTGGGATGTGCAGTTGATAAACACAATCAATACAGTTGATGAACATCTTATTTAGTGAAGTTAAACACTGCTCTGGTTAAATCCAGAAAGTGGTACAGTAGTGTTCTAGTGGAACAGTAGTGTATCTGAGGAGTCGTGCAGCACACGTCCCAACCGGCAGGCCTGCTGCAGGATATTAATGTCTCTGTGCCATAAAGTCCTCACCCAGCCCTGGTTGATTTGTCAATAACCTAATTACGGCGGGACTTTGTTGTGTTTTGTTTTTGGTTTCAGTTCTTGGCCTCCTGGAATAAAACATGTGATTCACAGTGATGTGCTCACTCGCCACCCTTATTTGAAGACCTGGGCACCGGCCAACCTCCGCTTCATAAATATACACTCCTCTCTGTTTGTTTCTCCCTGGAGAGGATACGGAGGAGACCGACTAGTGTGGTCGGGAGTACGGAGAAAAGTACCTCTGTTTCTCTTTTCCTCTTCCTCTCTCTCTCTCCTCTCATCTGTTCCCCGGCCTCTCCTCCAGCTGTTGGTTGGTTACTTGGTGGGCACAGGTCAGTACAGTGAGCTCTGCGTGCTGACGTCACGCTTGTCGTGACCTACATTTTACATTTACATTTTAGTAATTTAGCAGACGCTCTTATCCAGAGCGACAATTAGTGCATTCATCTTATGATAACTAGGTGAGACAACATATCACAATCGTAGCAAGGCCTTTTTCCCTCAATAAAGTAGTTCTCAGCAAAGTCAGTGGTAGTAGTAAAAGACAAGTGCATTTAGTTATTTAAAAATAAAATATATGAAGGGGGGGGGGGCCGTCATTGGGATTTATTTAAGATAGTCTTTAAAGAGGTAGGGTTTCAGACGTTTTCGGAAGATGGGCAGAGACTCCCCTGTCCTGACGTTAAGGGGAAGCTTGTTCCCCATTGGGTTGCCAGGACAGAGAAGAGCTTTGACTGGGCTGAGCGGGAGCTGCCCTCCAGAAGGGGTGGGAGGGCCAAGAGACCAGAGGGGGCAGAACGGAGGACTCGAGGTGGGGTGTAGAGTTTGAGCCTGAAGTTCTGTGTGACTGGATCAGGTGTCACCGGCCAAGACTGGGCCCAGTGAGTGAGGAATGAGGGGGGCGAGGGTGGTGCTCTCCTCATTATGGTTGGAGGGTAGTCCTGCCCTGTGAGGAGCTGCAGTGGGACAGTTGAGGACAGTGTGGGGGGGTGGGGGGGTGGGGGGGGGGGGGGGGTGGGGGGGGGGGGGGGTGGGGGGGGGGGGGGGGGGGGGGGCGGTGATAGGTACTGGATATTAATAATACAGCCTCTCTGACATCAGACTGTAGATTTAGAGCTAGCCCCAGAGACTTCTCTATTGTCCTCCCTTCCTTAAGCCCTTCCTCTTTCTCATGTATCTCTCATTCTTCTCCTTCATTTTGCTCACTTTTTTCTCTATATTTAGGCCTACTGTATTTTTCTTCCTACCCTCTCTCTCTCTCTCTCTCTCTCTCTCTCTCTCTCTCTCTCTCTCTCTCTCTCTGTCTCTCTCTCTGTCTCTCTCTCTCTCTCTCTCTTAGTCATACAGTAGTCTCTCTCTCTCTCTCTTTCTTAGTCATACAATAGTCTCTCTCTCTCTCTTAGTCATACAGTAGTCTCTCTCTCTCTCTCTCTCTCTCTCTCTCTCTCTCTCTCTCTAGTCATATAGTAGTCTCTCTCTCTCTCTCTCTCTTAGTCATACAGTAGTCTCTCTCTCTCTCTCTTAGTCATATAGTAGTCTCTCTCTCTCTCTCTCTCTCTGTCTCTCTCTCTCTCTCTCTCTCTCTCTCTCTCTCTCTCTCTCTCTCTCTCTCTCTCTCTCTCTCTGTCAGTCCTACATTACAGGAATGACATGTGATGGCAGGTCCGGCCCCTCTCTCTCTCTCTTCGATCCAGCTCAGTCCAGTTCTATGTATCTGTACTGTATTTCACCCTGCTGGCCTCAGGCACCAATCATCATCTCTCAGATCAGCGTCTTTCTCTCTGTCCTCGCCAGGGCCTGGCCAGGGCCTCAGCAGCCTATCATCAGGTCGTTGATCAGGAAGAGAAAAAACAATCACTTGACAATACACAGATCCACCATCCCCCTCCCTGGCTCTCTCCCTGGCTGCCTCCCTGGCTGCCTCTCCTCATCACTCTCTTTGGCCCTTTTTCTCCAAAGTAGAACCTTAAACCAGGTCCAAGAAGAGATTTGGGTCATTGTTGAATGGCTTTTTAAGAGTTTTTGACATTATGAGATATGCATCTACATGGGGTATGGTTTAATTATAAAACCTCCTCCAAGCAGAATAAACAGGCCGTTTCCTGCTTATTTCCAGTTGTTGGCTTTAGCTGCTGTACAGTACAGTATGCTGTAGTCATGTGCTGTGTTGAGTCCCGCTAACCCTTTGAGCGGGGCTGATGTCATCAGCACACAGTTCATTATTCTCTATTGAATAATACCAGAGTCATTATGAGGGGAATAACGTATATAACAAGCTACTTAGGATTTATTACTTGGAATTACTAAGTCATTTCATAATGCCTATGTAACATTTGATGTCAGTAAAATAAAGCAATGGCTGATCACCCCACGTTCAGTCCCCCCGTATTGAAACTGTTCCTAAGATCTGTGTGTGTGTTTGACCCATGCAGAGAAAGCAGCTCTGATGTCACCGGAAGACGAGGTGCAGAAGAGTGACATCTCGTCCAGTAGTCAGGGCATGGTGGAGAAGGAGGCTCTGGGGCCACTGCTGCTTGAGGTGAGTAAAACAATAAAGCTTGGTGGAATTTGAATTTCAGTGAGAGACACAGAAAGTACCCACTTATCCATTGATTGGATAATTCAGTAATGCCGCTTTCTAAAGCACAGGTACTTCTTATTGAGAAGATACTCATCTTATTGGTTGCTCATTAGTAAATACATGGGTAGTAATTAGATTGCACCTACTCACAGTAGATTTATACAAAATTAGATAAAGTATTGTGTATGTTTTGGGGTAAAAGTAAAACTGCAATAATCCGGACGACAGCAATTTAGTTAGAATCTCTCTGTCTTCAGCATTTTCTCTGTATTGTCCAGAGTGATTCAGTGACAGTATGTATGGTTCTCAGGAGGTAGTTTCCCAGTGAGGCCTAGTGTCAGTATGCATGCCACATCAGTTCCTGGCCCACTTTCCCCCTGGCTGGGGCTGGGAGAGAGAGAGGCTAAGGTCCCCCCTTCTCCCTTTTTGTGTTCCCCTTCCTCCGGAGGTGTCCGTTTCACTCCTCTTTGTCCCTCCCTCTGTTTCGGGCCAGGCTCTGGACGGCTTCTTCTTTGTGGTGAACCGCGAGGGTGGGATCGTGTTTGTGTCGGAGAATGTGACGGGTTACCTAGGCTACACCCAGGAAGAGCTGATGAACTCCAGTGTCTACAGCATCCTCCATGTGGGAGACCACGGCGAGTTTGTCCGCAACTTGCTGCCCAAGAGCCTCGGTGAGGATGACAGGAGAGTGGATGAGAGGAGGGAGGAGAGGATGGTGAAGGAAGGGGAGGAGGGGAGGGGAGGGGAGGAGAGGTGGAAGGAGAGGATGGTGAAGGAAGGGGAGGAGGGGAGGGTAGGAGATGAGGGAGGAGAGGATGGTGAAGGAAGGGGAGGAGGGGAGGGTAGGAGATGAGGATGGTGAAGGAAGGGGAGGAGGGGAGGGTAGGAGATGAGGGAGGAGAGGATGGTGAAGGGAGGGGAGGGTAGGAGAGGTGGAAGGAGAGGATGGTGAAGGAAGGGGAGGAGGGGAGGGTAGGAGAGGTGGAAGGAGAGGATGAGAGGCGAGGGATCAGAGGAATAGAGAGAAGGACAAAGAAAGAGGGGTGGAAGTCTAGTAGGCGGAAATGACTAGGAGATGAGGAAGGAGATGAGGATGGAGATGAGGAAGGAGATGAGGAAGAAAGGAGAAGAAAAACATGATAAAGGGGAGATGAAAGACAGGTAAGAGAGAAGGGGATCAATCAAATGTATTTTATAAAGCCCTTTTTACATCAGCAGTTGTCACAAAGTGCTATACAGATACCCAGCCTAAAACCCCAAAGAACATGCGATGCGAATGTAGAAGCACGGTGGCTAGGAACAACTCCCTAGAAAGGCAGAAACCTAGGAAGAAACCTAGAGAGGAACCAGGCTCTGAGGGGCGGCCAGTCCTCTTCTGGCTGTGCCGGGTGGAGATTATAAGAGTACATGGCCATTAAGGAAGGAGAGGAGGTAAAAGAGGAGAGGAACCTCTGCTATAGGTACAGTATCATAGCTGTCACAGATCATGTGACAGCTATAAGAGCATAGTAACCAGGAGTCAACAGAGGGTCAGTGTCCCATGAAGCCCCCAGTAAACCCTCTCTATATAGACTAGGCAAGGCAGGATGGGTTAATACCAGCAGAGGTTAACAGGTCAACTACCTACCTGCCTGCCTGTCTTCAGTTCAAACTCACTAGACCCTCACTACTACCCACTCACAATCTGTCTTTCTCATTTATTCTGTCTTTATCCCCCTTCTCTCTTTGTCTAAATTGTATATATTTTCTATCTCTCTCTACCCCAGATATGTCATCCCTGTCTCTGTTCAAACCATCATTATTACATCACACACATTGGTTTTACCTGCCTCTGTCATCCTCTGTCTCCCACATCCTTTCTTTTCTCGCTCTCTTCTCACACGCTCTTCTGTATGTCCTGTGTGATGGTTTGTGTCCCCGTTCCTAATGACGTGTGTCTGTCTCTACCGTTACTGATGTTGTGTGCGTGTGTGTGTGTGCGCATGTGCGCGTGCGTGTGTAGTAAACGGGGTGCCGTGGCCCCAGGAGCAGAGTCGGAGGAACAGTCACACGTTTAACTGCCGGATGCTAAAGAGGCCTCCTGATGAGGTGGACTCGGAGAACCAGGAGGCACGACAGCAGTACGACATCATGCAGTGTTTCACTGTCTCCCAGCCCAAAGCCATGCAGGAGGAGGGAGATGGTGAGCACACACACACGTATACATACAGCTTACTGTACATACACAGATACATGCCAGGTATGCACACAGATGTTTACATACACATTCATGCCATACACATTCAAAAAGGTGTGGCAGCAACATGACATCACGCTAGTCTTTACCTTGTCTTCCTAACTAGAGCCGTATAGAGTTAGACACTTTGACGCCCTGCGTATTACAGCTAACACGCACAGTCACACACACACACACACACAGTCACACACACACACACACAGTCACACACACACAGTCACACACGCACACATGTTAGAGGCTTAACTCTGACCTCTCCTGAACTTTGATCGGTGTTGTGCTCAGACCTGCAGAGCTGCCTGATCTGCATAGCCTGCCCGATGCCCCGCCCCCAGCAGCTCCCCACCATCAGCACTGAGTCCTTCATCACCAAACAGGACCCCACAGGTATTAACCCCTGACCGCTCACCTTTTACCTCTCAACTCTACCCTCTCACACAAACACTCCATACACACACACACTCTCCAATGTGTGGATTAGAGAGCTTTCGTGTTGCGCCAGAAGGTGGACTAAGTGGAGAGTGGTACACGATAAACAGGCTTGTTGGTAAACCTACCTAGAGAGGAAAGGCAAGGACGGGGTTTCAGCTCTCACTACTACTGTACTTTACATCTAACCTCATAATGGACCGCCACCTGGGTTTTAACATCGAGCCTCGGCATCTCTTGTTACTGATGTGTGTGTGTGTGTGTGTGTGTGTGTGTGTGTGTGTGTGTGTGTGTGTGTGTGTGTGTGTGTCTGTGTCTGTGTCTGTGTCTCCAGGAAAGATCATCTCCATAGAGACCAGTGCTCTGCGGGCGACAGGGCGACCGGGCTGGGAGGATCTTGTCAGGAAGTGCATCTACGCCTTCTTCCAGCCACAGGGCAAAGAACCCTCCCACGCCAAGAAGCTGCTCCACGAGGGTGAGGAGAGGGGGAGTGGGGAGTGGGGAGAGAAGGCAAGGATGAAGAAGAGAAGGTGGGAGGAAGCGAATATGGGGAAGAGAGAGGGGAAACTTTCTCAATAATTAGGCTGTAACAACAAACTACAGTGGTACCATTGCAAAAAAACGTTGTTTTTTTTCGCCTTCTTTTATTTGGTAAAGAATGCCACAATGATAAGTAGCTCAATTGTTGTTTGTGCATGTGTGTGTTGACAGTGATGACCCATGGCACGGCCATCAGTCCTCTTTACCGGTTCAACCTGAGCGATGGGACCCCCCTCAGCGCTCAGACACGCTGCAAGTTCTGCTGCCCCCCCAACCACGACGTTCAGCCCTTCATCATGGGCATTCACACTATTGACAGGTGACGTACACACAACCGCACACGCACGCATGAACACACACACTGGCAAGTCATGTGGAACATGTAGAATATATGTCTTTATTGCCAATCAACACTGGTTGGAATGGTAGGAATTGACAGGATAGTATGGCTGATAGGAATGTGTTTTTGTGCCAACAATGTAAACAGACAATACATATCCAGAATATTTCTCTCACTCAGCTGATGTTTTGCTCTTGTTTTCCTTCTCTTGTAGGGAACACAACACTGCTAGCTCTCAGGAAAACACTAACTCCAGCCTTCTACTGACCCATAGGAGCCCTGCTCCCTCCCAGCCCTCCCACTCCCCTGACCTCCCCCCGGGCAGCGAGGCCAGCCAAGCCCCAGGCCCCACCTCGAGCCTCCATCTCAACAACGGCAACAGCTCCGGCACCACCGCCCCCACCACACCCACCAGCCATTCAGCAGGGTACCTGACTCCCAACCGGATGTATCCTCAGCAGGTCAACAGCCCCTCGCCCCTGGGCAGGCCCCCCAGGGGCAGTCCGGGGCTGGGCGGCAGCCCGCGTGTCCCAGGGAACCCCTTTTCCCCTTCCACCTCTGGCCTGCACTCTCCGGCAGGGTCCCTGGGAGGTGGAGGTGGTGGCGGGGGTGGTGGAATCCTCAGCAGGCAGCACTCTGGTGGGGACAGTGGAGCAAGGACCCCTCTGGGTTTCTCCCTGCCCTCCCCTTTACCTCAGAGGCAGGCCAGCACCCCCACCAGCTCACCAGCGTGCCCTCCCCCCGCCAAGCCCCCCGAGGGAGGAGGAGGAGGTGGGGGAGTAGATGACCTGGCTAAAGGAAAACTAGGGTGGAACGCCAAACTCAACCAGCTCCTGGACAACGGTGTAGTGGGGCCGCCTAGGGACCCCAAAAACACTTCTCCCCACCCTAACACCTACCCCACCAAACCCACCTCCACCCCTCAGTGCCCGGCCTCACACAGCACGCTGACGGAGCGCCACAAGATCCTCCACCGCCTCCTGCAGGACAGCAGCCCGGCCGAGGGCGGCAACAGCAAGGAGTCTGAGATCAAGAAGGAGCCCCCTGCCAGCCCTGCCACCGCCAACCCCAACGGACCCTCCACCACCCCTCAGGACCACCAGCTGCTGCGCTTCCTCCTGGACACGGATGAGAAGGACCTGGGAGACCTGCCCCCTCCGGCCGCTCTCAGTCTGCAGACGGTCAGGGTCAAGACTGAGAAGAGGGCCAGCGGGGACACTACGCCCTGCGCTGCAGCCTGCCCCAAACCCAGCCCCAAACCCAGCCCTGCAGACAGCAGACCGTCCAGAGACCCGGTACTGTCTGCAGCCCTACTCCTCCCCCTACCTCTGCGGTCTACAGCTCACACCTCATACACAGTCTTTGTAGTATCCAGATGCAGCAAGATCACGTCCCAGACATGCAGACCTCTCAGACAGTTTAAGTTTGGGGTTATGGTTAAGGTTAGTGTTAAGATTTTAGGGTTAGGGCCGGGAGTTAGGATTAGGGACTTCTAGGACTTCTGTTGCTGTGGTGGTCACAGTGTCTGGAACGTGAGAGTGGCTGGCTGGCTGAGTGGATGCTGCTGCTGCCTTCTAAAGGGAGCATGTGATTCGCTGCTGTATTTGTTCTATTTACGTTGAGCCCATAGTAACACTCCCTCATTGCCCTCTTAAATCAGGAGCTAGTTGTGATGATTTGTGGCCCCTGCTCTTCAACTTTGTCTCTCTCCAGCACAGAGCTTCTAGCAGCAGCCTTTGAAGTTCTTTGACCTTTACTCTCTTTCCCTGTCCCTCTCTCTTGCTCCCCCCCCCCCCCTCCCTTTCATTATTTCCCTCTCTCTCTCAGTTCCTCAGTGGACCTGCTGACCTGGACCCTCTCAGCCAGCTGCTGCCCACCCTCAGGGGCCCCGCAGGGGCCAAGCAGGGCAGCGAGGAGCAGGGTGGTCCCCAAACCCAGGCCCTGTCGTCCCATAGCCAAACCCAACCTCAACAACGGCTCCACAGCCCCAGACTCCAATCACCTCTTCAACCCAAACCTCAGAACCATCTCCAGCTCCAATCCCCTACTCAGCTCCAGCTCCAGGCCCAGAACCAGCTTCAGTCCCCTACCCAGCTTCAGTCCCCTACCCAGCTTCAGTCCCCTACACAGCTTCAGTCCCCTACCCAACTCCAGCCCGGTGCGGCCAACATTCCCAGGGCCGTGACTGTGAAGAGGGAGCCTCCCGGAACACCAAGCCGAGGTACAGCAGGAATAAAGGGGATCAAGGGTCAGGGGTGAGGGGTCACGATAAGGGTCAGAGGGTGAGAGGCCCCTGACTCCACACACCACTGTATGCTGCCTGTTTTCGTTTTTAGTGTGGCCCCCCAGGAAAGGACTGGTCCTGACCGTGTGTCTATTTGTGACTGTGCAGGGCTCACTGATGGCTCCAGCCTGCAGAACCAGTCACACTTTGACTTCTTCAGCCCCAGCCAGAGACCGGGACAAGCGGAGCTCTTCCAGACAGCCAAAGACAGCAGCAGCCCCTTTACAGAGTCTGGACTCATGAACTCATTCAACTCCAACACCGGTATGAACCAGAATACGCTTCTATCAAATAAGCCTATATCAATATCTGGAATTCTATCATTATTACATAATAAAATGGGATCTAAGGTTTAGTTGTTTGTGTTGTGCTGTCCTCCAGTGATGTCTAAGATGGAGACAGACTCTCAGCAGTTCCAGACCCTGGCCCTGACTGAGACTGTGTCCTTTGATGGAGGCATGGGAAACACTGTGCAAGCCCTTCTGGCCTCCCCTCAGGAGTGAGTATAGTACACTGCTCAAAAAAATAAAGGGAACACTTAAACAACACAATGTAACTCCAAGTCAATCACACTTCTGTGAAATCAAACTGTCCACTTAGGAAGCAACACTGATTGACAATCAATTTCACATGCTGTTGTGCAAATGGAATAGACAGCAGGTGGAAATTATAGGCAATTAGCAAGACACCCCCAATAAAGGACTGGTTATGCAGGTGGTGACCACAGACCACTTCTCAGTTCCTATGCTTCCTGGCTGATGTTTTGGTCACTTTTGAATGCTGGCGGTGCTTTCACTCTAGTGGTAGCATGAGACGGAGTCTACAACCCACACAAGTGGCTCAGGTAGTGCAGCTCATCCAGGATGGCACATCAATGCGAGCTGTGGCAAGAAGGTTTGCTGTGTCTGTCAGCGTAGTGTCCAGAGCATGGAGGCGCTACCAGGAGACAGGCCAGTACATCAGGAGACGTGGAGGAGGCTGTAGGAGGGCAACAACCCAGCAGACTGCTACCTCCGCCTTTGTGCAAGGAGGAGCAGGAGGAGCACTGCCAGAGCCCTGCAAAATGACCTCCAGCAGGCCACAAATGTGCATGTGTCTGCTCAAACGGTCAGAAACAGACTCCATGAGGGTGGTATGAGGGCCCGACGTCCACAGGTGGGGGTTGTGCTTACAGCCCAACACCGTGCAGGACGTTTGGCATTTGCCAGAGAACACCAAGATTGGCAAATTCGCCACTGGCGCCCTGTGCTCTTCACAGATGAAAGCAGGTTCACACTGAGCACATGTGACAGAGTCTGGAGACGCCGTGGAGAACGTTCTGCTGCCTGCAACATCCTCCAGAATGACCGGTTTGGCGGTGGGTCAGTCATGGTGTGGGGTGGCATTTCTTTGGGGGGCCGCACAGCCCTCCATGTGCTCGCCAGAGGTAGCCTGACTGCCATTAGGTACCGAGATGAGATCATCAGACCCCTTGTGAGACCATATGCTGGTGCGGTTGGCCCTGGGTTCCTCCTAATGCAAG